AAATAAAGTATGGACTCTTCAATGGTACCAGGATCTAAGTCGCAAAAAAATGAAGCAATTCAAGAAACGGTTCAAACTCACATTACAGACGCTAGTCCTCGATCTCTCGATGACGAATAAACAATTATCGAAACTCGAGCATAGCAAATCGTCATTGTGACGACGGGAAACACGATCAGTAAGGTCATCTTAATAACGACTTGAATTTTTCAGTTGATTCATCAGTCGATCATGTCTACACTGCCTTTTCATCCAATATGTTATTGCTTCCGTGCATTAAATTTTCATTCTAACATTTCAATATTCTATTCCTGTATTCAGCTATCGAATTTGTGCAGTGAGAACAGTTTGAGAAGAATTTTGCTCACCTGATAAACAGCATACATTTTGTTGAGCAAACGTCGTGAGGAACCGAAAAATTCCGGAAATTCCCTCGCACACCAATAAACCCTATCGCCAAGCAACGAATCGTTGAAATTGTAATCGATTCTGATCGCTGTCGGTATGGCGAACACTGCGGACATCAGCCATATTATCGCGATCACCTTCTTGGCACGACCGATACTACTCAACCACATATTACGTACTGGATGGGCGATAGCCACATATCTGAAATTCAATGAACGGTTGACAGATATACCGGAAAACTTCACGATTGGTCAGGCATATTCCGGTCACTCTAAAGAACCTTTAGAAGGGAGTTTATTCCATTTCTAGATTCTGTTCAGCTTTTCAGTCGGTTTGTTGATAGAATTTCATATATTCGAATCGTTCTAGTCGTATCATTGCTGCAAGTTCTGAGTAAAGTCATGTGTGGATACGTTGGAAAGTAAGGAATTTAAACTACTCGAGTACCGCCCTGCTATTGGTTTTGACCATGCAGCTTGATATTGCTGTACCATTTGAAATGTAGAAATAAATGTTTTCAAGTGCAAATTCTCCTCGATTTATTCCATTCATGGGATTTCGAATGATATACTCGATGCCGGCAGACTACGATGTTTTCCTAGTTTTATCATCATTTCATTAAGCAGAGTTCTTTCACGAATTTATCATTTCACTATGTTCTGTTGATAGTCTGGCATTGATTTCGCATCCTTTCCACAGTCTTGAGACAATCTCATTCATTTCAAATGAATCGTCTTAATGCACTCCCAATCATTTTGCAGTTCTTTCCCTTATTCCTATAGTGATAACATCAAAGATATCATTTCTCATTTCCAGTCCGTGCACTACATTCACATCACTAACTGTTACTGTAGATTAATGCTCGATCAAATGCAACATACTGATTGCAATCGCTCGAAATTACTCAATCTTTTTTTTTTGAAAAGCCAAAGGGATTGAAATCGAGAGTCGTGAAAAATGGTCGCCTTGCTATCAAAATATCTTATCTATAACATGCACATCTCACATAAACCATTAGACACTATCAAAAGAATGCTCCCTGAATGGCTTGAAATTTTTCGATAACGTTACAGTTATGGATGTTTTTGACTCAATGGAATTTTTATGCATGCAGTTGACTAATGCAGGATATCTGTGAATCATGCATGCTCTTCATCTTCTCACTTCTTTCTTAACTTGCCGCATTTGTGACTGTAACATTTAGATCATAACCCATAGATTACTATCGCATCGAATAAGAGAGGTGTTCACTAGCTATTTGTTCAAACGTTCGCAGTATTATGTATTATAACAGAATTTTGGCTATATGCACAATTCCTTAGCTGATTGACTAATCGAATTTTCTTACTAAAGTGTTCGCGATTTCAACGGCATGATAACGCTCTTCAATGAAGTCTCTTGATTGTCTTTTGCTAATATAATCAGAAACACAGACCACATATTCATTCTTACTGAACGTATATCACGAATACGTTTCCTTTTTGGGACTATGATCACTTAAAGATTAATTCGACTCTAACCTACAACGCGCTAATCTTAAGAGCTACACTCATTTCCATGTGATTATCAGCTTCAACAACCTTACCAATTCACAGTTTTCCATTCATCATTATTAATGACCATTGGTTACAGATATTCTCCCTACTTTTACAGATACAACCTTGGAATTCGATGTGATTTTCCAGAACGCCGGTACAAAATCATAGCAGCAAGTTTGGAACTCCCTTCTCGAGACATATTCTTGGTTTATTTTGGTAGTTGGTGCAAATTTAATCCACTTTATTGCTACATTCACCGTCAATTTGATTAGTTTTCTTAGGATGGGAGAATTCTATTCAGTACATTGTCTCGATGTATTACGGCCATTTCGTCAGTGTATGAACGAACCATTCCATAAAGTACATCTACCTCAGTTGGAAAAACTCAAAGAAAAGGAAATCCACTCTAGATGTGAGAAGTCTAAAGTTCTGTGGTGTTTTTATGTGGGATTCAATCTTCATCATCTGTATTGCAGCTTATGACGTTCTTTTGGATTTTTTTGGAAGTATAATATTTTTGAATGGGTTTGATGGTTCTAGCATTTATGAGTGCGTGTTAAAGCAATGAAAGAGTTAAAGCAAAATCGAAAACATGAAATGATAGGTTTTCACAGTTGTTTTTGACATTTTGGTGCGATTGCACGCAATCACTCAAAATGATCGACAAGAAAAAGGAATAAAAATGAAATAAGCGCATGAAAACAATAAGGTCTGTCTAAACGAAAACAATTGAATTCAATTGCATCAAACTAGATTAATTGGATTGAATAGAATATTCACTTTAAATCATTCATGTCCTTAATGAAATTTTAATGAATAAGGATCAACTCCAAATGTATAGATCAATTCGGATGAGTTTAATTCTATTTCATTAATCAGTTCCTCTACATGCGATGCTGAGGTGTTTACGACGCTTTCGAAGCGAGAAAACGTTTTGAACTGATTTTCACTCGATCCAACTCCACACTCCTACTCTTTAATCAGCAGTCAGAGAGTACTCGTCATCGTGAATGATAGCTAACATTCGAGATCGACTCGATTACGTGGGCCGCATTTGATAGGTCTGCACTCTGTGAATCGGACAGCAGTAAATCTTGCTCATTGTCGCTTTCAAAAATGACGCAATGACTCTCAATTGAGTTTTCAAACTCGCTTGAAGTGTTAACACTATGAATAAACGAATAGCTGTGTAACACAATGAATAGCTAAACGAATTTGTTGATGAACCAATGGGCACCTAAACGATTTCCCACTGAATGAAGAATGTAAGTAAGCATGAAATTGCAATGCAAACCTTTCGAACGAGATCATCGTCATTGTGAGAACCGAGCAGAAGCATGTGAACTGTTGTATGTAATGTACAGAATAGCATGCGAAACGACCCATGAACCATGAGTATGACATATACTTCACGAACTGTAATTGACAACATATGAGTTATTTCATCACACACTGAAATTGCCTTTGCTTGGAAATTTCTCAGGATTTAGTATCAAAAAATTGCTGAATTCAGCGTCCAGCCGCAAT